TGTAGTCTTTGAGCGAACTGTCCGATATTTTGAACGAATTTGTCTCGCTTAAAGTATGTCCATATGACTTAAAATGATTAATGGTTTTCCTTGAGACTTGTAGCTTCCAAATTATTTTTCTCTTTATGTTATATCTTAATAAAAAAATATTAAAAACATATAATATTTAAACAATTAAATTCTAAAATAACATTAACTTTTGACTAAGTGTTTTGTGACAAAAAAAATAAGATTTAAAAACATAAAATATATTAATAATTGTCTAAATTAAATTAAATTTGTATTCATATTTAGCAATCATCAATTTTCAAGCATGAAAAAAGTTTTCTTTTATCAAAAGTCCCGATAGTTTAAATACATAAAAATACAAAGATAGTTTTTAAAATGAATTAAAATAAATATGGACAAACTTTGATTAACACAAGTAGTTGCGATTTGTATTTTTTAACTAAATTGTTTAAAATTCAAATTCTCACATTAAGTACAAAGTAAACTATGTTAAAAAAATATTTATATTATCTACGATAATAGTCCTTGAGTGAGATCAATTACGACCAATAATAATTATTTTGTATTAATATCAAAATTTTAAAACAAATTGGAGGTCCCAAAAAAATTATATTTGGGCATTCATTTTGTGGGGTACAATAAGAAAGGGGGGAAAAAACTACAATGAAATAAGAAAATCGTCGAAACAGAATAAATGCGCGTGTTAAAAATTTATATTGAAAGATATTAAATAGAAGAAAATGACATACATAAATATCTGCGGTGGTTTATCAAGAAAAAAGTGAGAGAATAATTAATTAGAGAAAAAAAAGACTGAACAATTTATATTTTTATTTTATTTTATAAGATTTAATATATTAATTTGAAAATGTTTAGATTGTTTGAAAAAAAAATAGATACCAAAAACTTATTTAAAAAATATTTAAATCAATAAAACTAATAAGTATATCATGTGTCATATCAAGATTTTTAAATTTAAATAGAACTAAAAATAAATTAGAATTGTAACATATATATATATATAACTAATTTTCATAAAACTTTAAAATACATGCACAGTTTAATTAAAAATGTGTCTAATATTAAAAATAATGTTAAAAATAAAATTAGGCGTATCAAATACAGTAGCGTTTCCTATGTCTTTAGCTATTTTTTACATTTAAATCCTATGCATAATAAATTATATTAAATTAAATATTGAATTTCAGACATATATATTGAATTTAAAAATGAAATATATTATACTTAGCGCGCATATATATATATAATTGCACCACTCAATAATTTTATATTAATTATAAATTTTATAAATCTAATTGTTAGATTGAAAGTTTATATCACTTTATGAGTGTATATCAAATTTTGTTAAAATTGAACAACAACTTGAAGATAATCAAAGTGATCATATTTTAGTGTGTTTTGAAATAAATATATTATATCAATTTTATTTTATAAAAATGAAGTATCAAATATATAAGATTTATTTAATATCTAAATTATATTATTTTAATTTCAACTAACTAAACATTACTGTTTAGATTACATAATTTTTTTTAATGAATAAGAAAGATTACAAAGATGGTCGCAATGAAAATTGAACCTAAGTCCTCATATTTCTAACTATCCCAACCCCTCTCTACCGCACCTAACTACTAGGCTAACCCTAGTAATCACATAATTTAACCGTTTAGTATATTAGGTGAGATATTCTTTTCTCATTATAGTTTAATTCCAATAAGAAAAATGAGTATAATGAATCAATGTTGATAACAATAACTAATGAAAAATATAAAATATATTGATTGAAATATTTTATTTTAAAAAATCTTTAAAAGTGATTTAATTGATAAAACTCTGATATATATATATATATATATTATGCCTAATGTTGATTTCAATAAATTTGAGGATACTTTAAAAAAAACATTTAAATGGATAACCAATTAAAAAGCAATGATTTAATTTGATGAAAAATTTAAGAAGACATATATGTCACAAAATACATTGAATTTTAACGTCTTGAAGTACTCAACGCCTAGTCAAGCTGCTGCCACCTAATCCTCTGGTGACACAGCCATCAATGCAAAGTTTATTAAATTTAAATTATATTATATAATATTTAAAAGTATATCAACCATAATTTCTAATTAATTAGCTGCATAAAACTTTATACGGTGCACAAAAACTAGAGTAAAAACAATTGATACTAGTAAGTATACTAGCTCACATCATTTTAAAAATTAAAAATAGGCAGAACCAAACTTAGTGATTTCTGAAAAAAGTGGTATATATCAAATCAAATGATACGTACATAATATAATAATAATAATAATAATATATAGAATTATACATCTCCGAAACGAAAGTCCGAAAGTGTCTGGTATAGCAACCAGTCAAAAGAACACAACATTTGGACCATATTTAATTATTTATTATTTAATGCTTCCATTCCTCATTCCCTCTACTGTGAACTAACTTATCCGCCAGCTGTACGGAACTCCTTTCATTCTTCTCTTCTTCTATACATTCCTTCTCTTAGAACAATATCCTCGTGTGCTTTGTATATTTTAATTATAAATAAATTACATTACCATAATACTTCTTAAAATACTTCTCTCTAACTTTTATTTCTCCTCTATTATTTAGGTATACTTTCCCCCTTCTTCTAGAAATCCTTTACCTTCATTGTTAAATGTGTTTGAAATCGACATTCAACGAAACTTAATTAGCTCCACATACTCATGATTCATCTATATATATTTGGATGCTAGTAACTACTAACTTTTTACATACAAATATTAGCCATAGTTTTATAAAATAATTTAATTTTAAAGGGTCTTTTAATCATTTAAATTTATAACATTAGTATAAAAAAAAAAACAAAATACTATATCTTCGTATTTAAGTAATAAAAAAAGTGTTCAAAAAATAATGAGAAAAGTTGACGATTATCGCTAAATAAAAAGGAAAATTTATTCATATTTTAAAAAGGATTAGCTACGTGATTTATATTTTAAATAATTAAATTGTAACATAAGTAGTCTATATATGTAACTGAAAAGTGAAAAGTTTTTTGTTTTTGAAAGTTATATATCAAGGTGACAAGGTGTAGTGGTACGAGAGAGAAAATACTATCAGCCTCTCACAATTTGATCATACCCAGATTTGACGTATTGGACACGGTGAGATTCTTTGAAAAAAAATTGGGGAAAGAGAAAAAAACAAAATATTTTTGAAACTCTTCAAACTTGTTTGCCATTTGCTTAAGCAGGGAGATTAAAATTAACAACTTTTCTTATTGTGAGGAATGACTGCAAATATATATATCATGATATATTTAAATATATAAATTTCAAAATATACATAACTTGTTTAGGTCATTATGTGTGATTATTGTCTAACTTTTTAACTATTAATGAATAATTGTATATCTTTTTATTTGATATGTCCTATATGTATTGAATGGAAAACTTTTATTTATGAGAGTAAGAGAAGTAAATCTCAACGATTAAATCAAATTAAGACAAAAATAAAAATATAAAGCCATCATCTAATAGTTTTATTTAAAATAATCATGGCATTATTAAATAATTTTTAATCCTAACAAATATATATATATATATATATAT